AATTGAGTGAGTTCAAAGATGCTAATTTTCCTTCAATGGAGTATGTGTACTTTAGAAATAATACTGTTGTGGTGAGTGAAAGAGTCCACCCGAGGTAATCAGTATTAATATTAATAATAATTAATATTAATAATTAATAATTAATAATTAATAATTAATATTAATAGTATTAATAATACTGTTATGGTGAGTGAAAGAGTCCACCCCAGGTAATCAGTGTTAAGTATCAAAACTAACCTTTATGGTCCCCAAAAGAGTTTCTTTAGTGTCAAGAACATCACATTCAACACCAGACTCTGCGGTAGAGCAAATCCAAGGTGAACACTCAAAATTTAGGATCGTACACTGCTGCGCAGTCTCGCCCAGTGCACTACAAACGTGGTTATTGAAGTCAGGTCCGCCAGGTAAACCAATCAAGGTCATTCCAGGTCTGATGTGTGGTTTAAGGGCATTCAGATAGTCATCTAGATAATGTTTATGGGCAAACTCGGGAAAGACTACGAAATCGATATCTCGCATGGCTTCATCTGGGTTCGTTGTTATTAATGCTGGTTTCGATTTGATAGACGTTGGCTCTTGTCCCTCGCGATGCAACTTAAATAGAAGACTCTTGGTCTGCATTACCGAACTACAACGCTCTGCTTCATCTTGATTTAAAGTGAGCACACGAACTTCAGTTCCCTTCCGAGAAGACGCTATGCCAGCAAATGCGTGCGCATCACTCCCCCCACCACAAATCAACAACTTTATGGTCTTACAACGACTGCCCTGTTAAATGAATTGCAAATTATGTAAATTAGTTTTAAGCAATTATTAAAATAAGTCATCAATTAGAAACATTCTTATATTCTCAACATTATTAAAATTCTTAAAAGACAGAAATACATATTAATTCGGGAAAGGAGATATTAATTCTTACAAGCGTCGAAAAGCGCTCATCGTTGACAGCTTATCTGTCCAATAAAGCGTGAGAGAGTTCAAAATTACCCCCAATAGCACTGAGATTGAGGTTGACAGTTTGGTAGGCATACATAGTTTTTCAAAAATGCTTCAATTAATTAGAAAACACTAAACAACGTTTCATTGATACATACATATAATCTTGCACCTAAACCTGATAAAGCTCCACCAATAGATGCACCAGCTGCTCCAATAGCAGCATTCCCTGCCAGTCCTATGCCAGCAGCCCCTGCACTCTGTAGAATCGAAAAAACACCCCCTGTAAATCCTCCGTAAATTGCAGACTGCGCAGCCGCCGCTATGGAGCCAGCAGCAACACCTCCAGCAGTAAAACCAGCAGCACCAAGGACCACAGGAGCAGCTACCACTGCTGCAACACCAGTTACTACAGCACCACCTGCGACTGCGGCTACAAGGCCAATGTTGACACCACCTGAAAAAAAGATCAAACAGCACAAACCTACCTTTTATATAAAGGTCATTTTGGTTTTATCAACCGAGTTGATAATGTAAATTGGGTCTAAATTGGCCACCATAAAGAGTTTCAAAGCTGACGGTTTGAGCGTCAGAGAAAATTAAGGAATTGTGGGTTGTGTGTGTGTTAATGGGCAGAAAAAAATGGAGTTACGCTATCGATGGGAACACGGTAACGAGAAAAACAAGAATAAGGGATGAAGGGTGCCGCTTTGCTCTAGAGTTTTGCAGCTTTCCGAACTGCCTATTAAATGTAAGGGATGGCTAGAGACTACCATATGCTGCTTAGAATGATAAGGCAGATTAAAGTGTGTAGCATCCAAACCATTCGCCGCACGCACACAAGCTATTTTACATAGCTAGGTGTTTCACAAAACGAGTCAAATTGACTCAATTTAGTAGAAAAAATTATACATGAGCTTAGTTAACAAAAGTCTTTATCAACACTACGAGGGATCCGATAGGAAATGATCATGAGTGGAAGTTTCTGGAAATCTGCCTTTTCAAAAAATAACCTATCAGGGTAAATAACTTCAACTCTATAATAATAAAATTATAACAATCAATTCACATAGAATCTGTCAAAGTTGTCATGCTTCATAATAATAAACGGTGTACGTACTCCTCCTGAAGAAAATGAGGCACTTTTTTCTTATAGAAGAGCCCAGATTCATAAAATCTATCGATTTCTTGACTCAGACAAAAAAATTTCCCTCGCAATTGAAACTGCTACTATAACTGCTGACATCTTGCTCGGCGTAAATGACTGCAGGTTTCGTTATGCATTTTTTGGTTAAACAATCCATAATCATTAAAAAGGAACTCCTTCAGGCTTTCAAATAGAGGTCAATTTGCACCTGAAAGGCAACTTATGCAAAAAATACAATCACTGACAATAAAACCACTTGCTTAGAACTATTTAAACATTTATATGTTCCTCAAGCCTTTTCATTCTGGATTTTTTAGTTTGGAGTGAATGAGGGAAGTTGGTTAATTGAGAAGGGAGGCTTAAACAGAAAATTTACACACAGACTCAACCATTAATAGCTTTTTTAAGCACTCAAAATGAAAATTTACCTCGATTAGGTGGAGTAGTGTTTCCTGTTGGATCCCCCTGACTGGTTGACGAGGTTGTCTGGGAAGGTGGGTTCTAGCAAAACAAGGGGACAGCATTTGTGACACTTTGCGAACACCAAGCAAAGGAATCAACAAAGCTATGGAGATTACCTGATCGAGATGCAAACAGTTACCCAAGAGAAAAAGCTTGAGTGAAACTGAGACCCTCAAGAAACTGATGCCTAATATTCAAGGGCAATTGCAAATAATCAAGCATCTTTTCCTGCCACAATAGCACCTATTGTGTTTGCTATCCTTCAAATATTTTTGCCATGCATGAGAAAAATCTTAAGGAACATTTCAATGATTGCCTAGTGGGATGTTTACTTCATAGTGTTCTCTGGTATGAATTTATGGAAAAAATATGTCCTTCTTTTCTGAGATCAGCTTAACACTCTCTAATCCTGACTTAGATTTGAAACAAATTTTGGTATCGCCGCAGGTGTCAAGTTAAAGAATTGGGGTATATCCTTGGATATTCCCCAGTTTTAGCTGCGACATTATTTAATCCGCAAAAGGAAAAAACACAGCACTGGGCTGCATGGGTTACTTGAATACTTTAAGGTCGCTGCATGAACACAGTTTTTGCATGCGCTTTTGCTGATGCAATTCAGCCTGAGTGCACGCACATGGATTGCAAAAAAAAACAAACATGCCATCAATAGAGCGGTCATTTTATTTACTCAACACCGGTACCCGCACTATCTGTGCTATATTTTTCTCTATAGTTGACGCGGTGTATTGAAGGCTTTAATCTTTTATTACAAAGATATACATTAGAAAAGTTAACGGTGCAAAGAACCCAGCAATTCTCAGCTTTTTCATCGTTACCGAAAGAACCCAGTTAAATGCAGCAAATGCGTAGGAAGTAAAAAAATTGTGATTGAATGGAAAATTGCTTTCTCGGAAATATGCCTATTTCTTGAGAACCACTTACTAGAATTTCACGAAATTTGGCAGGAAAATACTTTAGGATATAAGAAACTGGAGTATTGAAAAAAATTTATTTGAAACAAAGGAAATTCTAGAAAATCGGGTGAACTTTCAGCAAGGGATACTTAAAAGATCTCTCTGTTAAAATTAATTGTTAGCAAAATGGTGTTAACTTATGAGTATTGTTACAAGCTCGTTGCATGCAAATTATAAAGAAAATCTAATGACTAGATTTTCTACAAAGAAACAAAACCAATTTCAACTGTCTGTTTATATCTATTCATGCCGCCATGGCAATGGCACATACGTCAGCTTAACTATCACAAAAACAAAGTTTATGTTGTTAACTTGCTTGCTGCCAGATTTGATGACTGAAAGATCAAGGGTTTTAGAGAAAATGGTGAAAGAAACAAAGGCATCAAAAACTGTGTTCGCCCAGCCACCTTAAACTGATTTGTAAAATTATACAAGAACAGCTTGGAATGGCTCTTGCTAGACCTGATGTAAACAAATGGACCTTTCTTAGAAACAAGCTGGCAACTGCATGAATGACTATGCTAGAAAATACCTTATTAAGATCCACTGATTGTAAATATTGAGAACCCGCTGACTTTTGCAAAATTTCATAATTAATTTTTTTCTAAGAATCTTTTAATGAACCTTTTTCGAAAATTATATCAAAAAGTACTTTTAAAAATTGCGCTTTTTTTTCTCTGAAAAATTGAAAAGTTCAAAATACCCTAGTCATGGCTGTTGTCACCCCCATAACGTAATGCAAAACTGTGCAACTTTTGCAACTTCGTACATTATAACGCGATGCAATCCTGCTTTCAAATTTTTTGTGCTAGCAGATGGTCCTCTTATCGCTTGGAAAATATTTATTTCTTGTTTCGTTGTTACGTTTAAGTCTGAATAGTCACCCATTGAAATAAAGTACTTCACGTCTTTTTTGTCAAACTTCAGTGGTCTATGAAGAGGTCTGCCATATATACTTACAAATCATAATATATATCATCTTAAAGCTTAATCCTCATATTTTAATTCCTCTTATAGGTGTATTTTAAAGTTTTTGATTTTTTGGAGAAAAAAAAGCGTGATAGAACTTTTTGATATAATTTTCGAAAAAGGTTCATTAAAAGGGTCCTTTAGAAAAAATAAATGAATTACCAAATTTTGCAATTGTTGGCAGATTCTTGATATTTACAGTCAGTGGCTTCTAAGTATGCAATGATTTGTGGCCTTTTAGTTTTTAACATCCAAAGAGAGAACATCTCAAAACAGAATTGTAATGTGAAGGTAATTGATTTTAAATCTTTTGAACCTGTAGACATTATCACACACACACACACTCACATATATAGCATGCTTTCCCTGGTACACATGACATGGACTTTTTTCCTGCCTTCCTTTCTTCAAAAATGTAATGTGCCTTTCTTATTAAACCTAAGGTTAATTCATTATTAGTCTAAGCGCATAGTTAAGGTCGGCACACACGAGGGGACTAGTCCCTGCGACTAGTCTGTGCGACTAGTCCGTGTGACTGGTCCGTGCGACTGGTCCCAGCGGCAAGTCTTTGAAGGGTTTACACGAGGGGACCGGTAGCAGGGACTAGTCCCTTAAGGCGTTCACATGAGGGCACTCAATTGCACAAGAACATAGGAAAATTAAGAGGCAAAAGATGTTTCTTAGTCTGGTGCGTTACACGAAAACAATGAAACTTTGGTAACTTTTCATTCTAGCACTATTAAACATCAACACAAATGAACTGCACTTATTCAGTCGGATTATTCATGCTTTTACGTGTTCCGTTTTTGTTTTTGTTTTTTTTTTTTT